CGGTAGTTCTTGGGGGGGGGGTTAGCTATATATACGCATGCATATACATGTTCGGGAACTTTCAAGTTTGATCACAAAACTTGACGTTAGTCGCCGATTAGCAGCTTCTCGTGTCCAATGTTTTTGGAGCTTCGGGAGATAAAGGAACCCAAACCTACGCCCGTAGGATGCTCATGACAGACATGCCGCAGAAGGCAGTTTTTGTCTGCAAAAACTACCACATTGTTACAGCTAGCAGACTGAAACCTCAATCCCTGCACCGAAACTTGAGAACTGAACACCAAGCCTTATGAATCCTAAACTCAATGTGGCTATTCCTTGCGGTTCCCTTTATGTCTTTATACTTTAATTGTCAAAAAAGTTATACAGCACCTCAAACTTTTCCAGTTGTCAGGACACGCTGGAGGCGACGTACGAGAAGGTTGAGGTCCGAGTCGCTGCTGTTACGGTGAAGACGGGGTTCCGCAGAGTTTCGGGTTTAGGATGGCTTAGGCGGCAAAGGCTTTAGAAGTCAAAGCATTCGTTATCAGGGGCTTGCAAGAGTTTTCTCTATAATACAGGCGTCAGTACTAAGGGATCGAACGGTAAGCGTTCTACAAGCGCACGAACCCTGCAGCGCCGAAAACTCAGAAGGTTAAAGCTCTGGAGCCCTGAAGCCACAAACCCAACACCCTTCAAACCCTCTTCGCTTTAGGGTTGAGGATTTAGTTTTTGTTCTAGGGTTTTCCTTATAACCCCAAACAACCTACCTTTTTCAGGATTTATATAAAGAAATCATAATCAGGAGCCCTTAAAAAAAGGTAGGTTCCTTGGTGGTTTTTAGGGTTTAGGGTTTAGGGTTTTAGGGTTTAGGGTTTAGGGTTTAGGGCTCCTCTCTTGTGCTTCTGAAGTATGAGAGGCCCTAGGGCCCTAGGTTTTTACCATCGAGCATTTAGGTCTTGTGCTTTGTGAAGTGTTAGAGGCAGCGGCGCTAGGTTTTTTTACATCGAGGATTTAGGTTTGAGGGTTGCTTGTTCAGGCTTCAGGGCATATTTCGGACACATATCGAAGCTGCGATGACTCTCATCATTGAAGGTTTCGGGCTAGCCCACCCAAATCCCACCAAAGACTTCATGGCTGACAGAGATTGAAGCTATCAGCTCTGAGGTAGCCCTAATACCCCGAACCCAGATTCGGGGGTTCAGGGTTTTAGGGTTTGGAGCTTTTTTCCTTCGCGATGGAGTCCCTTCATCTCCGAATCCTTCCCCTCCGTGGGTTCTTGGGAACAGGGTTTAGGGTTTAAGGTTTAGGGGGGCCTGTGAGATGTGTTTTCCAAGTTATTTTTCATGGAAACTAGAAGACTTGGATCCGGAACTCCCATACTGCTGCGAAAAGAGCCTTCAACACCGCAAGCCCTACAAACCACAAATGCAAGGCATGGGGCGTTGTCATGCTTTGTCTGGTTTTTGATTTCTTGTTCAGGTAGGGCTTCTATTGCCCTACCCTGGGGCTCCCGTTACCTATGTATTAGGTTAGCAACCACATATCATGTCCCAGCAAGGAAAGCCCGTGACCCTGAGACAAATAAACAACTAAATTGGCAAATGTTGGTAGTGTGTATGTATATATACATATTGGTACATATATATATATATATGATATGTAGTTGCTTGTGTATATGCACCTGAAAATAAATATGTATATGTGTACGTATGCTTATATGTTTGCATGTATTTATACAGGGTCTCAGGGTTCACGCAATCGGGCGCCCAGGGTTTGGAGTTCGGGCTGGGGTTTATAGAGTTCAGGGTTTACGGGATTTATAGGGTGTAGGGTTTAGGGTTTACAGTATTTATAAGGTTTAGGGTTTAGGGCTTATAGGGTTTAGGGTGTATAGGGTCTGGGGTTTGGGGAGGTTTAGCTCTGGACAGGCGGACGTCGCAATGACTGTCGCCGACTGGCCGCCGGAGCTTGTGAGCAGCCTTGGGCTTAAGGTTTCCGGGTTTAGGGTTTAGGGTTTAATATATGGGCCTACATAATTGCCAATACTCTTTTGAGGGATCCTTGTTGCAATTATAGTATAATTGGCCACAAAACCCCATTCTAGCTATTAAGGTCCCTACATTACCGTGGGCCAAGCAACGATTGCCAGGCCCTGGATGTACTGCGGAAGCCTGAATGATAACAATGATAAGTAGCACAGTTCCTTACCGTTCCTTACCATAGTTATACCGTTAAGGCTCCTTTGATTACGTTCTTACGGAAATACACCACCAAACCATGTTACAACTATTATCGCCCCTGGATGTACGAGCGGTTGTAAGGCCCACAACAACCGAATCCTTATTGCAGGAATTGTAGGCCTTATTAATTATTAATGGCGGAATTTCGTTATAATGGCGGAATTTCGTTATATATGAATGAGGCGTCTACATGGGTAGTTCTCCAAACTAGGGTCCGCTTTAGGTTCCCGAAATAGTACGGCACACTCATGCAATGGACCCTAAAAGGGACCGTAATTCAGAGAACCACCCATGAACTTCTTGAGAGCCGTCCTAGCTCAAACGAGACCTTTCGCCGTACTGGGAGCTCTGTCTGATCCCTAGTAGAGTCTCTAGAGATACATGCTTCGAACATTAGCTGAGACCCCATACAAAATCAAATTCTGAAAATGTTACATATACGTGCCTGAATAAGCAGTACTACTAACTCTTCCATACCTTCGATCGGATGATTTAGACTCCTATTCTACGTAGATCCTGCGGGAAAAAGGGGCCACGGGGTCTGCGTTCGGGCTTCAGTCAGGGTTTAGGTTCCAAGTTCGCGGCAGTTCTTAAGAGGCTTGTCGAGTTTCGGGCGCAAAACGGTCCAGAGTTAAAGGTGATCAGGAAGCTTAGAAATACTCAAAAACCCTAAGCCCTAAACCCTAAACCCCTAAACCCCCAAACCCTAAACCAAGCTGAAAAAGGACAGGCCAAGGCAGATGAGCAGGCAGCTCTACGAATTTGCGTCCGTTCTATAAGACCCTTGCTGATATAGTGATGAGTTCAGTTTAAACGAGGGGAAGAGTCGAGAGACCCCAACTGGCAGAAGTCCATAAGGAGTCGGATGTGCGACCACAGTTGAGCAGAGGCGTCACTGTCACGCAGAGCTTTGTCGATGCTTGGAGCGACGCACTGCGTGCTGCCAAGTCCTCAGCATATTGTAGCTCCTAGCTGACTTTGAGATGCAAACGCTGCCCTTGACACTTGAGACTGCACAGAGATATGCTCTTTATTGCCTCTCACCCTCCTAACAACCTTCAGAGTACACTTAGAGTAGCCCTATGCTTATTAACCGCATGGTACCGTTCCAGTACCGTTATCGTACCCTTCTAGTGCCTTTGTAAGTCTCGCTTCTGAATTCCGAAATCTTGCAGAGAGAGTTGTCGTCGGGGGTTTTGGGTTTGGGGTTTGGGGTTTAGGGTTTGTGGTTCAGGTATGGGGTTTGGCAGACAGGGTAAAGGGCTTGGCAAGTAGATAGAACCAAGCAGCGTCCCGATGCTAACATGTCGTGAGTGACCGTGACTTTCGTTGCCCTTGCGGTTCCCGCGTTGTCTATGACGGCCTGTGGGTGATGCCTGAATAACACGAAGGTCTAGACCAGAGAGAAAATCAAACCCCTGAAGGCCTGCAAGCTGATATAGGGGCCGAAAATAGTAGTTAAGTTAGTACTTTTTTTTGAGTCTGACAATATACCTGTGATACCACCCTAAGCCCTTAAAATTCGTGGATATCCAGGCGCTGGTGTTGCGACTGAGTCAACCACTAGGCCCTCCAGAGCTTGTGCGAAGAAAGGCTACAGGCTACAGGCCTGTGGGAATTTCGGGGTAGGGTTTAGGCGGTTTAGGGTTGAGTCTTTCAGATAGTTTGGGGTTCAGCTCATGTTGCTCATTGCTGCGGCGCTGCTGTCACATGAACTCAACTCGATCGCTCCATGGACATGAGTTATAACCTTGAGTCTCCATTGTAGTTCCTTTCTGTTCAACCAATGAGGTAAAAAAAGAAGCCACAATGGAGAGTACAGAGGCACTTCCCAATCGGAGGTTTGACAGGAATAGACATTGAATCTCAACACTAGCTGATCTGTGGAAGTAAAATTCGGGCCCCATGTAGAAGCCTGGGATGCCTTGCAACACGACCGACGCCCGAGCTCGCCTCAAACGAAGCCCTCTTCAGCTTCGGTTGTTTCCAGGCAGTGAATTGATAAATTGCTGACATGCTCCTTACTTTAGACACGTCTGGAGGATACCACAAGCCTGGCATCCCTGTTCTAAGTAGAGTGCACATACTTTAAATTGCACCAAGTCCAAAAAGCAAATCGCCGTAGTCACAATTGGATGACATGCGTCGCCATCTGATCGCTGCGACATGCCCTGACCGTAGCGACTGTCGCTACAAGGGTGAGGAACCGTTATAGTTTTACACTCATGAAGTCCTGCCGCCGCCATCGGGAGCTCAAGCGCAAAGGCCAAGGGCCCCGACCTTCTTTGCTGCACTGCTTGGGTGCTCTTTGAAGCTAGGCCGGCGGTTGCTTTAGTGTTGGATCTCAGGTTTGTGCGGGTTTGAGGGTTGTGATTATAGATTCGAAGTTTAGCAGGACACCCGAAGCCTCTCAAGCATAAACCCCACACACAGCAAAACAAGTAGGGCATTAAAGAGCTTCCAGAGGCCATGGAGCTTTCCTGACCTACACTTCTTTACGGGCTTTTGGAGCTCAGCATATAGGGTTTAGCGATGTTTAGCGTTTAGGGTTTAGGGTGCCTGGGTATGCAGCTAAACTCTATAATTCCCGCGGTAAAAGTACAACACGTAAACGCACTTTGTAAGGCTATGGGGTTGAGGCGGTTGAGGCGTACGTCTCTCTCTCTCTCTCTCTCTTTCTGTCTTTCTTATGTATGTATATATATATATACATACAAATCGATTTAGATATGCTTTATAATGCAATCTTCCGAACTTCTACACCGACGGTATTCCTGTAGACTGCCCAGTTTCAATCTTCACGGCGTTAAAGATTAAGCGGGGTGAAAATGAGTCAGGGGTTCACATTGTGGGCTTTATTGGACTTGCCACTGTGGAGAATGAGGAGGAAGGCAGAAGGAGAACAGCAAGGTGGTACTGGTATTCCCTACTCATATAGTATATACATTGGCCTTAATGTAGTTCCTATTTGGGTACTTTGGGGTCTAAGTATATGCTATATGGGTACATGGACCCTTAGGGATTATTACCGGGGCTAACAAGCTGAATAATGAGAACAACTTGTGCAATCTTGGCAAGGCTACCAGGCCTTCCTCTGCGAACTACAGCGAAATCCCACTCGCCAGATGTTGAGACTGAGCGTTTAATTACATCACTTATCACTCTTTAACGAAGACATGAGAGACTCTATTGTGCAACTGGGCATTCCTTGATTAAGCAGTCTGAAACGGTCATCAGCGATGAACCACGAGGAGTCATCATTGAAAAGACACCCATAGGGGTTGCTATTCCAGTAAGTCGGAGGCAACTGATGCTCCGCGCGGTCTTTGCCTTTTTCGCAGTCGCCGCGAGCGCCAAGGATTTCGACTTGATTCTTTATGGTGCGGCACCTCGGTCCAGATGGGTCCTGCTTGTTTGTATCACTTCCTCGATTCTCTAATGATATAGTAAAGTTACTCATGGGTGTATTGCTTAGACTTGCGTACAAGTGTAGGCCTGATGCCTTTACCCTTGTGAAATAATTTTGAACGCTGGAAGCCCTGTGTCTTTTTAGGAAGGGTTCGTGGAGGCATGAAAGGATGAAAGGCCGGCTGGGTTTCGAAAAGCCATGTCTTAATCTAGGACTCGCCATACTTGACAAGATCCTTCATGCTGCCCTAAGTGCGTGTTTCTACAATTTGTTTTTTGGCTGTGCCAGCGTCTATGCCTTCAGTTGCACGTCCTCTGCATGCCAAATCCCCACTTTTGTCCACAATCGAGCCTTGACACTTGACAGTCTCGGCCCCAACAGACACAAGAACGTCCCTACACCCTAGATCCACAGCCCTCGCAATCGGCATCTTGGCTGGGGATGCGTGCCACTGTAGTTGACAGACCATGGACCCGTGTTCGTGGCTTATGGCTGCAGGAGTTTCAGTTTGGGCTTAAGGGGTTTAGGCCCAGGCGAAAGATGGGCATGCCATATTCGTGTGTTGTATAGTCGTGACGTCGCTGACGCAAAAGCCCAAACTCTAAACGCTGCAGCCCAAGCCGTAGACCCGAACGCCGAAGATATGAGCCCGAAATGCAAACGCCTGAAAGATGATGTCGGGATTTAGGGTTTCCTTGAACCTCTAATCACCTACAACTTTATGGGCTCTACCTACTGATTAAGGGGTAATGGCTGGTAGGTAAAGACGTAGGGCTTTTCCCTAAACCCCAAGCCCTAAAACCCTTTAGGACCGGGCTTTCCCATATCTGGCCAAGCTTGTTTTCGGATCTTGGAGTGTAAGTTGGGGAAATCGTTGCATTTCTGTCAGATGATGTGATCTGTTGTGCTAATATAGAGGAATTACTAATTAGAATAGGGCTTTGGGGCCACTGTACTGAAATTATAGTAAGGAACTCCCAAAATAGTATAGGTTTTTATTGAGGCCACTGCATTACTTGAGGATGGCTGCGTGGGACACTTCGCGGCCCAGCACCTGGCAGCACCTTGGCCAGATTTCAGCTGTTTGGAATCTCTGGGCTACTTGGGAGAGTCGGGTTGAGATGCCCAGGACGTTCATGATCAGACCCTAAACCCTAAACCCTGACCCCTAAACCCTCCTAAACCCTAAACCTTAAACCCTAAACCCTAAACCCTAAACCCTGACCCCTAAACCCTAAACCCTAATCGTTCAATTTGTGGGATCGGGATGTTTGGTTGGAGAGTGATGCAGCGTTCGCCTAACTCAACTTCCCGGGTGAAGCACTCAGCCCCGTGCAACGCAAGTAAGGCTTCTGCCAACGCCGGATAGTTTCAAGAAGCTGACGAAACTCTGGCGGGTTACTCCAAAGCCTAGACCATTACGGTGCACGGGTTGAACCTCTTTCCCGTGCTTTGGTGCTTTTGCCCCCAGCCCACTTTACCACGCCGTGGTCCCCGGAAGACAACACAGCAAGATCTATGACCGAATGAAAGGAACCAACATGATAAGTGCTCCAAAACCCGGGTTACCTACTGCCCGAGGACTGATAACATCGGCAGTGGGGATCCCATGGCAATAAGCTCATAACCCCAAAACCCTTAAAAACCCTAAGCTCTAACCCGACACGCTTAAACAATGTAAACTCAAGACCCAAAGCCCCGAAATCAGCGAGGTCCAGAAAAGTCTCACGTGGGCGATTGCCGGCAGAGCCTCACTTGCACCATTTGGGTTTAGGGTTTAGGGTGCATGGTTCACGTTATATGAGGGGGTTCAGGGTTTAGGGTATGTCGAGGATTGAAAGCTTGCATTGCTGTGCGGGGTTTTAGGGCACAATATAGAATATAGGGGCCTCAATAGAATTTGTTACCAATACCATTGTATAACATGCCCCAACACCCTTGTATAATTATGCATTCAGGCCCTTATAGTAGGTTTAGAGAGTCTGTGCCTGGGTCTACTTTGCCGACGGAGGTCTTTGGCTTCCCCGGTTGGCACATGTGCTGCAGCCTAGATCCCTGCCATGCATACTGTTAGGGGCCTTAATAATTAGAATAGGGTTCTGGGGGGCTCCTTATTCTGGCTATAGAGTAATATACCCCCGAACCCTATTCTAAGTATTAAAGCCCCTATCTTACTTGCAATCTTCGACAGTTTTGGTCCGAAGATGCTTGGTCAGGGTTTCAGCCATCTGGACCAGCGCTTGTCACTAGTGCTTGCGAGCCTCGGAGTGTCTGGTCTTGCATCGGACGTTTTCGGGGTGTAGGGTTTAGGGTTGCAAGTCTAGGACATTTCCCGTTGTAGGAGCCTTATAGCAGGTCTATATACCTTATGGAAGCCTTATAGAAGCTCTATATAGCCTGAACTCCCCATCTATAGTTTCCTTTAAGCAAGCCTCCAGGTTTGTAGCTGCAGAAGCCTGGCTCTCTGCCGTAGCCCGAAGCTCTCTGACTGCAGCGGTTCCCCCCAAAACGTCCGAGCCAGAAATGCTATGCACCCTGGTGCCTTCGTACGAACCCTGGATTTCCTGTGCAGATCTCCGCACTTCGACCCTCCTTGCAGGAACGGACGCTTTACAGCTTCGGGTTTTAATCCCGGGTTGGGCAGTGGAATCCCAGGCAAGGTGCTGAGTTCCAGTTCAGAGACGAAGGCTTAGTAATTTAGAAAGGGTTTCGGGGGTTCCTTAATATAATTGAAGTATACTATATACCCCAAAACCCAATTCGAAATTAAGGCCCATACATTGTTATCCTAAGAAACCCTCTGCGCATTGCTAACGCCTGATCTGTTGGGTTTCCAAACTCTGAACTTTATGTCTTTGTTTCTTTACCGGCAGACACCCAAAATCAAACACCCTACAATCTGGCTAAGCCCTATAAACCCTACACCCCGAACCCTTATGAAGCCCTAAACCCCTAAACCCCTAACCCGAAACCCTATGATAAACACCCTGCTAAAGAAGCCGAAATAACTACCAGTATTATTCCTTAGGTTCCTTATCATAAATATACCAAAAAGCAGCCCAAAACCCTATCCTAATTATTACGGCCCCCACATTATAAGCCCACCCGCAACTCTTGAAGCCGGTAGTCAGGAAACGGGACGAAACTGGAGTCCCTCAAGGAGGACCCGGTGTGGGCTTTCGGCAACGAGAGCTTCAGATTATCTGGCCTAGGGTCTTGGATTTATATGAGGGTTGAGGTTCTGGAATGAGCACTTTTGTTGTTTCGAGTTTATTCGTGTAGTGCATTTTATAGGTGAGGATGTTCCAGAAGAGGTCTCGACCAGGGTTTCGCATCAATGTAGCGGGCACCTCACTGACAAACCCTCTCCCGTTGATGGTGGATCTTGTTACATTCTACATGGATCTCCTCGTTGAAGGACCTGAAGTCACTGGGAGACATCTCCGAGCCCTCCATCGTCGTGGCTTCACTAGATGGGAAGAGTGTGGCCCGGGTGCAAGAGCAGAGACGTAAGGCTCTCCACCAAGCAACTGTCAATATGAATAAAGGTGTATATAACCCTTGTCTCTATAATTTATAGTGTATATAATTAATATATATATATATATATGTATATATATATATATATATGTAAAATGCAGTACATACCAGAATAGGTGTTCAGGGCTTGAAGTGCAGGAATTTCGGGAGCGGGAGACCTAAGCCAGCTTGTTGGAAACGCTTCATATTTATGCATGTATAGACTCTTGGGTTAAAGCTAACGTGGCTTGTGGGTCTGGGGTTACGTTTCGGGTCTGGGTAAGCCTGAACCCACAAGTGTTTGAGTTTGGTCCTCTCTCTGGAAGCCAGCTCCAGCAACACCTTGCTTAAAGAACATGCCTGTAAGGATCCCCCAAATTACGGTTCACCTAAGAGTTTCAAGTTTAGGTGAGGTTGAAGTTTCAGCTTTTTTCCGTCTCTGGCTACCAAGAAAGCAAGATCACGGCTAAGGATCCAAAGGAGTGGGTGCAGCGCACGCGCGCAGTGACCCTTGGTCTGTGCGAAAGTATCGCTGCCTGCTTGTGTCCATTAGTGAAAATGCTTAGGGCCTAGTAGGCTTACATCTCAAGTAGTTTCTTCAGAGGTGTCAGTTCATGCTATCCGTGCTGTAGGTCAGGGGAGTGTGTTTTTTGGCTAGATCGGGCTGCTGGACCACGAGGCCTGTTGCAAAAAGGGCCTAACAGGCTATACCGGCTTGGCGCCATGCTGCGAATAGTAAACCCTGTTGCGATTGTTTCGTGCAGCGACAGGATCACAGCCGCCGGACCTTTCAGCATTCACGGCGGGGAACTTCTTCTCAAGGTGGTCTCCCGCATGTCCTCCGTGTTCAGATCTTGCATGTACACCGAGCAGACGGGTAGCGGCCTCATAACATATTATGGAGCCCTAGCTTATGATTTTCAGCACGGGACATGACCCATTGGGGGGGTTCACAATGGGAACCGTTCGTGTTGTCAGGGTTTAGCTCTCTTCCGAGTTTCACTTGGTGTTAGGGGGATTGGGCGTATGTAAGTTGTGCCGTTCTGGCATTAATAAGATTGCATGGGGCACCTTAAACTTGACACCACAAACTGCCGCAAACCCTAACTTTGGGAATCTGAGAGCATAACATGAGAAACGTAAACCTGAATGCCCGAAACCTACCCGTCCAGACCCCCTTGCCCGCATACGCACCCGTACCAAGGCGAGAGTTTCGCACGCTAAGGGACCCTGTCATGGACCCTACGTGCAAATAAATTCACACATGAAGCAACTGCTTCAACCTACATAAGTATGTACACACACATAGATGCAACAAATCTAGACGGGGCTTCCGTATATCGCGGATCCCTTCAAAGCGAACCCTGAACCCTGAGCATCTCTTAACTTTATGAAGCTCTCGGACGGCAGGCTTGCGCCGAGCTTGGGGTGAACTATGCTGATACCAGCGACGAGCCACCTGGTAGCATGGAACTTGTGGAAAAACCTGTAGATCTTGTAGGATTTAGGGTTTAGGGTTTGGCGGTTTCGGTATTTTGGACTGAGGGGAGAGTTCTTCAGAAACAGCACAAATTCTTAAGCACCCTTCAAAAGCTGTTCGAACCTCGAGCCCGAAATCCCTTAAAGTAGGCTTTAGGTTCTATTGGGCCTTGAAGTTCAGGTTCTACTGGCAGCGCTGGATGGTGGATCGCTACGATGCCGTAGCCAAGAAGTCTGGAGCACAGGCTCCGGACGCCTGGAAGTGCCAGCTATAAACCCTACACCCTAAACCGTGTAGTAGTAACAAGCTGAAAGGGAATCTGGTTTCTTAAGGATTGCTGTAAGATTTTTGCATATATTCATAGGTTCAACGGTTCAACGCTTGTTACTTGTGCGCGGTTCTATTAAACAAGGGTCTGCAGGGGGGGAGGGGGCAGGGAAGGTTGGCGGAGTGCTGAGATTTGAGGATTTAGAGGGGTTGGGGCTTCAACAACCACAATCGAAAGCCGCCAGACCCTAAACCACACACCCCATTGGGTGAGCCGGTGGATTGGTCAAGTTGGGTGATGTCCGGTGCTTTCACAAATGTCTAATGTTCTCCTACAGTTTATGCTTCAGCAACAATGGGTGCACGATGATGCTGGTATGAGTCTTTTGGATTTTTATTGTTTGCTTCTGTCTGCAACTGGTTGGTTTGTGCCGGTTAATGTTGGGAAGTGGGTTCCTCATTTCCAAATCCAAGATGGTATCATGTCGAATTCGGCTCCCGACGTTTGGGTACACGAGTCTCAATGTTCTCGCCTATCTCTCCGGAGGCAATCGCTTTCATCACAGATCACGACATTTCGACACATTTGTTGAGCTCTTTTACGGCGGTTGGGTGATCCTTTTCAAGTGGTCTTTGGGCCCTGTCTGGTGTCCTTGGGTGTTCGCAACGTCCTTCCTGGATTGTTGGTTCGTCCTCGTAGTTCTCTGAATGGGAAGGCCTTAGAGAAGATCCGTCTTATGATAGCTTCTAATTCTTTTGCGGGCATTATGAGAACACAGTTCTCGGCGAATAGGGTCAGTGTGGTCGGCGTCCAGGCGAGCTCACCGGCAAGCTCAAAAGGGCTGACTTAATTCGTAAGTTTTATTCCTAGTGGACCCACAAGTCATGGTGCTTCTGGATCGTCCGAGTGGCATCTTGCATAATTAAACCACACACCCCAAACCCCAAATCAAACGCACGGGGGAGGTCGTACTGTCGAGCGGCTTCTGTGCGCTTGCCGGAGACCTTGGTGCACAGCTGGCGATGACGGAGGCTTCTCCCAACCACCGATCCCTAAACCCCTTTAGGCATGTTTTTTGTAGTAATAATAATGCCTACTTCGCGGTCTAAAGTTTAAAGAAATTTCCCTACTTTGGGCTATTTGGAGAGCTGCGGCGAAGGTCCTTTCGAGCAACGACGAATTTGTTTTGTAGTGCCTGCGTTACACTCAATAAGGACCGGGTATAGGGCCCTGGTGTCTGACCCTCGGTGTATCGAGCTCAGGGGCACTGTTTAGATACTTGGTAGATCTTTAGCAGAACTAGCAATTAGAAGCACGTGGCGGTTTTTTTAACTTCATCGGGTTTTGGTTGAGGACACCGAGATTCTGGCTCTCGGGTGTTGCGGTGTTGGACAAACATGCCTGCGGATCAGCTCAGTACTTCTCACAGAGTTCCTCACAGATGTTGGCCTGTTTTGTGCTGGGCCCTGTACACTACGCAAATATGGCATTTCATCGACGGGTCTAGGTAGGAAGCCGGAATACAAGTCGGCAGTGGAAAGTGTGCCGCCATCGACGAAACCACAAGGACCAACAACGGTGGCTGGTAATCTGACAACCAAAAGGCCCTTCACTGTTGCACTCCCCTGCACGAACATGCTTCGATTCTCCGTTTTTCTGCTTGTCGCATGCGCTTCAATCAGCGGCCCGCACACCCATAAGACTCAAAATGTGTGCATTGTGTTTGAAGGAGTAAGTACCCACAGAACCCAAAGATACTGTACCTGAGCTGTATGTACACATCAGGCATGTTTACGAACGCACGCATGCACGCACGCATGGCACATACATGCATGCATGCTTGCACTCAGACTTACTTGTATACATTGTGACGGACAGACAGACGACAGACCGACAGGCGGGCAGACCGGCAGACAGACAGAGAGACCCACAGACGGACAGACCGACAGATGTACGAACATACATTTGTTAAAGCACGAAATAAGATATACCAACAACGGTGTATATACATCCACATATATATATATATACACACTGACATATAGAGATATATGTATATATTCTTCCAAACATCGCATACACCAGACACCTACCCGCCTACATACTTACACAGCTATACGGCCAACCAAAGGCATGAACGCAACGGCAAAAGGGCAGAAACCCAGCCCAAAAATTGGCACAGGTGGTGCAGAACGGCTCCGAGGTCAAGCTGGATGCATCGTGGCTGTGTCGACGGTTTGGGTTTAGGGTGTAGGGTTTAGGATTTAGGGTTAAGGGAAACTCTGTACATGGGGCCGCCAGCAGTCCAAGGCATGGCTGGAAAAGTACAACGGAGGCGTGAGCGCTGGCGTTATCAACACGGCAAAGGTCATGAAGAACGTCAGCTACCCCAAGGCTGCATGTAATGGCTTTGGCTAGAATCCGTGGCGTGAGGTACTGTTTATACTATACAGGAGCCTAAAGCCCTAGTCCAGTTATTAGGGCCCTTACAGGCTTGGGACAGCGACCCGTACGTGCTGACCCCAAACATCTCTGGCAGCTTGCGAAAGGACACGAAGGCGGACATTCTTTGCCTTTGGGAATGTGCTTCGAGCATTGTTTGGGGAGGCACAAGCTATAGCGTTTCCAGTTTGGCTCGTATTGTGGGTTTTTGGAGGTGGCGACATTGTTCGTAGGTGTTGCGTGTGCTGGTTGTGTTGCGGCCACTATCCAGAATGTGTTTAATCGTTGTCTGTGAATTTCTGGTTATGAGATGTGTATGGGAGCATGGAGTTGCAATCAACAGTGCCGCATCAAAGCCTCCTCTGCCACGACTGGCCACGGGCACTAACGGCATCGTCATCGTCATAGTCGTCGCCATCATCATTACAGTCATCCTCATCATTATCATCATCATCATCATCATCATCATGTCAGCTTTCTCGTCTTGCTCCTATACATGTCAAATGGAGTAGCTGCAGTAGCTTTTTCAGGAGTAGCAGCAGTGCAGTGGTCCTTGTTGTTGTCGCGTCGTAGCAGCAGTAGTCGTGGCCAGAGTGGCGAGGTAGTGGGATTCAGAACCCTACTTAACCCCTAAACCCCTAAACCCTAAACCCCTGAACCCTAAACCCCAAACGGCCAGGTCGCAAGCAAAGGATGAGCTGGAGTAGTGATGAGTATAAGCCTGCATGTGTTGTTCATTGTGCCACACTTTAGGCTATCTGTCGTTACTTGGCACATGGCTCGATTTATCAGTAGGGATGACGCCTCACCCCAAAGAGAACCTAAACCGTCAGCTTGGGTCAGGTGGAGGGCATGGGCTACCCCTCTTACGTCTCGGGGGAGGGCCTCGTAGTTGCCAACATCTTCGGGCCTTACGATGCCCGACTGATGCGCCGAAACTCGGATGCGGAGCTTGTAGTCTGGGTCAGTACTCCGTAGCTGAAGCTTGCCGGGGGTTGGGGGGAAGTACGTTTGCTTAAGCCCTAGTGGCCCTAGTGCCTAGGCCTCTAAGGCCTTTTGGTTCACGATCTGTGTCAACCAGAGCCCATTCCCTGCTGCACTCACAACTCTTGGAGGACTCTTCAACTGCAAACCAGTCTCAGCCCCTCAAATCCCCTTTCAGCCCTTCTCCATTTTAGGGGTTTGACTTGAATGCACCCCCAAAAAAACAAATCCCTGAGCGTTTGCACCTCCAAAGCCTTAAGCCCTGAACCCCAACACAGGCAGTCCTCAACCCAAAAGCCGCAAACCTGCACCGGTTCGCAAAAAACAGACACAGCCCTGGAACCCGTCCCTACGCTCAGAAGTACACCACCCCAAACACAAACATTGCCATACAAAGCTCTACGAACACAGCACTGTGTATAACGTTTACTAATTGGAATATACAAGGTTTTTGTTGGTAACATGTTCGATTTTTCTGCTCTACCCATGATAGCCATGCTCACGATCATAAGAAATCGGCATACTTACAAAAGCCAAACAAGATAGTACAGTACTAGCGATGATAGCTAAAGCTGAAGCAGAACCATCATCAAGAACACCCTAACTTTCAATTTGAAACCCCTACGCAAACCACCACTAAACGTTAAACCCTAAACCCTAAAACAAACCCTAAACCCTAAAACCCTAGACCCTAAACCTTAAACCCTAAACCCTAAACCCTAAAACAAACCCTAAAACCCTAAAACCTAAACCCTAAACCCTAAACCCCAAACCCTAAACCCTTAAACCACGTGGAGGATCCTTTTCCCACCTTGGTCAAGCCGTAGAGCTGCGCGTGGGTTCGAGCTCCGGGATGTATCCCAGGCCTCAGAGGGCCACTGGGAGGGTCTAAGTCGAGGGGTTCTGGGATTTTCAAGATTTTTTAGGTTCTAGGAAGTGTTTAGAGGTAGGGATTCTGGGATTTTCAGGATGTTTTAGGTTCTAGGAAGTGTTTAGAGTTAGGGATTCGGGGATTTTCAGGATTTTTAGGTTCTAGGAAGTGTTTAGACTTAGGGATTCTGGGATTTTCAGGATGTTTTAGGTTCTAGGAAGTGCTTAGAGTTAGGGTTTTTGGATTGAGGGAGTTTGGNNGTCGCTGCAGACCGGACGCAAAAGGGAGTTTGGAAGTTTAGAGCTTGGCTGTCGTCTGGCTTGGGAAATTGCCGGGCCACTTCAATTTGGAGAGTGGGTTGGCGGCTTGGGTGGGGGTGGGGGGGGGGGGGGG